CATCATCGACGACTCGTGTATCAGACAGGGGAGGGTAACTGATTGAGTGATCCGATGATAATCATATTCATTCATACAGGGATCAACTCACCATTTCCCCGGATGCTTCTAACAGCATATACCATTAAAGCATGATCTCCTCCTCTGCCTCTCTCGCTTATTTGACCCTTCACACTGTGGACTGGGGGTGAAGAGAGCGACCCATGTCTGTTGGCGGGGAGCTCAGTAATCCCTTCATCATTACAGGCAGGCATGCTTGGATGTCTGCGAATCATTGGTTAAACATCTTAAACATGTAGCCCTGCTAATGAAATAGAAAATGTGGAATTATGATTCAGCAGACTTTCAGTAATAAGTAACATATATATTAGGCTCTGGAATGCATTTGACAGAAAATTAATTCAATCAGTGCAAGCCCAGACAGTAATTTTGAGTAATTCGACAGATTAAAGTTTACCTTCATCTCAACTGTTGTATTCTGCACTGCAGCGACAAATCACGTCGCTTTATCCAGGATGGAGTGATAAGTCAGAGTTTGTCCTGTAGCGACAACACTTTGAATAGCCGATGGTCATGCGTCGTTCCAGGTGCTGTTCTATAATTGACCAAATTCTCCTCATTTTCATGTTGGCAATCTGGAAAAAAAATAGGTCTGTGATGGAAACAAATATATCTGTTAAAGAAGTGCAAAATCATTGGGCCTATAAGGGACAGTGTCTAGTGGTACTGTCGGGCTCACGGTCCAGACGTCCTGGTTTCATCCGGCAAAAAATGTTCTGTCGACCGATTCTTATAAAGACAAGGTTCTTATATTCCCCATTGCTTCTCTCCACTCAGGAGTATTTCTTAAATTTAAATTTTACACTCCCGCCTCCCAGCAGAAAATGAAAGCTTCCATCCACCACCAACCACCTGGAGAATTAGCGGCTGGAACAGAGTTCCTGAAGGAAAAATAATAAGTCTGGTTCAGTACTACAAACTTACTGTTAGCAAATGTTCTTGACGTCTCAGATACATCTTCAATGCTCAAGATCCTCTGACAGATGGCCAGATTACAGAATATGATTCTGCAGATTTGGCCTGAAGAACAGAGTGGACTTTGGCCACTCGTTCATGATTCGAGAGTGCTATTAAGCTGCCAACTACCTGTAGTGGCTGTTTAGAGAGTGGCAGCACGTTTGACTGAAGGTATCAGGTCTGTCATCATGCCGATGGGACTTTCTGATTGACCTGCAAAAGATAAATCCCAATGCTATCAAAACTGTCCCTAAAATTACTATTGTAAAATAATGAGGGCTCAAATTAAGGTCATATAATCAGGCATTGGTGCTGCGAGATCTGGAATATAAATAATTAAAGTTTCATGATAATATGTTGATTATGGTGGGTGTAATAATGGCATGGTAACACATAACTGAGTTTTGTCCACAAGACATTCACGCTTATATACAGCTGAACGATTATCGGCTGAACCGTTCATCTCTAACGATTATGCTAACCCCGGCAGATACATCTTAAAGTGGAAAGTGTTAGTGACCAAGCAACAATTGACACCTGATTATATAGGCAGACATTGGGATAAATGCATATAATATCTTTTGTTAATAACTGAAACACAGGGTCGGTGAAAAAATTCTCTAGTGTGGGCCACCCTCCGATCAGAACAGCAGGCTCCGTCGACGAAAGAGTTAATCTGTTATGATGAGTTGTTTTAAAGATGTGTGGGTAGGAATTGTTCTGCAGGGCGTCCTGAACGCATCAGTCAATAATGTGCTCTTACGGCCGGACAGCAAAAGTTAATGCTTTATGATCCCAGGACTCTCAAGGTTAGATGGCTGTTAACTCACTGAAAAAAAATGGGCAATGAAGATTGTAATGCTCTTCGAGAAAAAAATTCTGAAAACATTGGCATTTTATGCTGACCAGTATTAAAAATCGTCATTCCCATCGATAGCATAGTTTGTGCAATTGAATTATTCAACTGTAAAATCAGCTATATTATTTAGGAGTGGAGAGTATTTTTATAACATATTTTGTATAGGTTGAGTTATTACTAATAATGTCAGGGTTCTTGTTAACTTTGACAAAGACGGTAATTTGACCGCGCGGCGGCCAAACAACGCGGCGCCCGCGGCGCCGGAAGTGAATAGCAAAGGAGGGTAGCTGGTTTGATTGGCGGTCCGGCACGGCGGTAGCGCGTGGAGCGGCGAGCGCGAAGCTCTAGGCGGGTCGCGATGAGGGAAGCGAGCACCCCGGAAAAATTTCCTTGATTTTGAACTCACAAATGAGCCTATGTTGATGGGTATGGCGTTGCTAGAATTTGGTAGTTTTAGATAGGAAATATCCGTATTAAGGTTGAAGGTATCATAATTATATAAAAAGAAAAACCGCCCGTGCATAGCGAGAGTTAGTCCTTGCGGTTCGGAAGTATTAAAATAAACTTCGTTTTCAAATAGTGGCTAAATATTTACACAGGCTTTAGTGGGAGTTTGTTCTCTCAAATTTGAATAGCCGGTAACAAAATGCGCGATAGGCCGTAAATAATAACCGTTAAAAATAAGACCGTTACACCAAGCAATCACCTACTTGTTACCCCGGCCTACTCTAACCAAACCCTGCTAGACTACGTTTAGTGTTAACATGCTGTTTATGTTGAGCAGCTAGAAATATCTGCATCTCTTGTCGTCATCATCAATCACATAATCATTCTCTCATCAGGATCGGTTCAGGTCTATAAAGTTTACTGAATATGCAATGTGTGTATCTAAAGCAGTGAAAAAAATTCCTCCAAACACGAAATGTACCCCAAACATTAAACTGTTTAGCATGACCCTTTATAGACATCTCGACATCAAGTCAATAGTTCCCCAGCACACATACAGCACATAGCTGAAAGGAGTGTCAGACGAGCAAAATGGGTCGTATTTCAGAATACATCTCCTATCAATACTAATACCAGGTCCCGTACTGGGAGAAAACTGAAAGTCCATGATTTTGAATTAATGTTCTGATGTGTGTGGGGTGGGGGAGGGTGATTTAACTGTGCAGACAATCATACTTTTTCATATTTAACACTATATTGAGGAATAAAAACATATTAATAGCATTGAATACCTGTATGAAGTCGTCGCGGCCAAGTAGTGGCCTCTCGATCCGATCGGAATTACATTGGTATGTAATATGTCGGAGTAGTCCTGCGTATGATCACAAGATACAAATTGGGGGCAGGATGCAACAGCTGTCCAAGGAGACATGCATTGTGTGATGAATATATTGAGTAATATGATCAGAAGAGAATTGAGGGAGATGGCATTCATTAACCTAATTACAAAACAGATTGCAATACTCAATCAATATGTAGGATCATCGACACTCAGTAGATGTGGCCACATGCTGCATGTCAGTATGACGGAACTTCAGAGCTGAACATCTGGGTTGGTCCTCGCAAGGAACAAAATAAATAAGACTATTTCCACATCAAGTCCTCATAAAGGTCTTTCAAAATTCAACAAGTGCGCGCGGAGCGACAGCGCTCATACCTAACCGTCTACTGCGGTGACCTCCTGTGTGGAGTGGTGGGATTCTAGTAAACCTGGTTTAGTCCGCAATGTTTTCACAATACACGCCGATAACAGTGAATGCACAGGGATGGTATCAGAACATTCTCAAAGGAATGTTCGTTGGGATCGTATGCAAAGTTGGCCACGCAGCTGGGCCGTACGTTTAATGTCCTTCAGATTAAAGATGGAAGCTCCCCTCGTGACGTAGTAGCGATAACTATTTGCAAGACAGAATAGGTAAGCACTCATCCATTTACCTACGAAAGCCTAACAGGGCTCAATAGAGAGCTGCACCTGTAACCAAATTAAGCAGGGCAAAAACTAGACAGTACACCACAACATTGCACTGCAGTCGCGCTGGCAGTGGCATACGTTACATGTAAATACTGACAGTACAGAATGCCATAGAAATTATATCGATTTTAAGGAGCATAAACTTCTTCAACCAAATTTAGCTTTTTTGAAATTCATGTGACATTGTAAGCTCATACATCCAGGCATGTATAGATTCTACTAGCAAACCCAGGCAGTGAATTATTTGCTAACAGCCCGTAAACATCCATGTTTACCTCCTCTTGAGGCAAAAGGTTATCCGAAAACTTACTCGTTCGCATGTCACGCAGAAGGGTACATTTCATGGTCCTGTCAATAAAGCATAAAAATCTGAGGTCACCGCTGAAACAAACAAGTTTTTCAACTCGCTCCGTCAGACATGGTCTCAGAAAATGTCTAAAATCTCCCTGTGCCATCGACCTGTGACTCCAATTCGAGAACAGTGATGGGTTTTCTAACCATGATCTAACCCCGACTAACACAACGAGCCTGAGGTCGAGCCGTTTAGATTTGTGCCGGCATTCTGGCATTTCCGTCCCTATACCTTAAGTTAATGAGTGAAATGTTCCCCTTCTTTTCACCTCTTGACATTTGACCTTTGACCCCCAGCTTCGACATCCCAACTCGTTTTCGGATTACCCCCCCACGTCCCGAATATCGTGACCGTACGTCGAGCGGTTAAGATTTGTGCCCAACTGTTGACGGACGGACGGACGCACGGACGGACGGACGGACGGACGGACGATCATGCGATTCTACAAGCTGCATCTGACTACGTCAGATGAGCTAATAAATATGAGCTGCAGTTTCAATGTGGTTTATTAACCCTGAATATGTAAATTTGTGTCACTGATTTGACTAGGAAAAAAGAAGAAAAAAAAACAGACGGTGAAGAAATAATACACCTTTCTATGAAATATATTATATGTACTGATGTTGCAACTACTAGTAATAGTCCACTACTAGTCTTTGACCACTATTTTATTGACTACTGCTAAGTTTGCAATGCTATGTATGGCAATTATGAGTATGCCTGCACCTTACCATTCATTTTTATTCAAGGCATGTGATTATACACACTGCTATATATACCTGTATTAACTGTACGTGGACAGCTCCTTGGCCTGCAGCAATTTTGACTGCTGCTCCAGTCCATGTATCGAGGGTGGCCACATCCCGAATCCTTTTCCCGTCTGCTCGTACGAATTTGAAGCTGGTCATTGAAATTTTCCATTCTGGCTTCACCGAGTCAATGATGGCCACTATGGTGTGCCGCATCATGTCCTCGGAATCCCCAGTAGTAAAGCTTATCTGAAATTACCCGAAATAAAAACATATTATGGGGAGTGTTAGAGAAATTAATTAGATTTGTACTCTACCCATAAATCAATTAAAGACTAGAGGTATTCTATTACTGGTGGCCAGATTTGGTACCAGGTACTGATGGATGACCCACATAACGTTAAAGGCATAATAGGTCTATTGATTATGCAATTTTAACGAATGCTAGAGTAACTGGCACCTTGTGTAGTTAACAAGTACATTACCTTAAATAGACAAACGCGTATTAGTTTGTCCAATATCACTGCTAGTTACTCAGTCCTTGTGTTTTAAGGTGCGCGAGCGCGATCGCGCGCCATCGCGCGCCTCGATTGATCACGAGAAGTGCGAAAAAACGCGCACCTAAGCATTATCAAAACGCACACCTTTTTTTCTTCTTCTTTTTTTCATTATTTTTTTTTCATTAATTCAACTTATAAACGCGAAGATAAACGCAAATGGTTGTAAACATCACAGACATTGCCGGAAGTCGGTTCACATGTTTATAACGACAGTCGCAAAGAGCTCTAGAAGTAGAATGACGAATGTGATTGGTTGTATTTTTAGATAAAGTATAATAGTCTACTTTGAAAAATTGAGTGTTGTTCCTTTGTGACTAAACATGCTAAATGTGTGATTCAAGTTATCCACATGTCCAAGAACTGATATTTTGTTAGATGAAAAAAAATCACCTAAAAAATGTCAAAATTAATAGTACAAATGCAGAGCTAATTTTTAGCCCAAAATGCTGGAAATGGTACACACCACGTGTACTTGCACAAGTAGCGCACGCACGCACCCACGCACGCACGCACGCAACGGTGTAGGTCGTTGCACACACGAAACAACACCCGCACGGCATCACCACTGTAGCGTTCACACACCACGCAGCAACACGCAGCGTGTACGTTGCACACGCACGCCATTTGCACAAGCACGTGTAACGGCAGTGGCAGCGGACGCACGCATGCACGGCACGTGTAGGTAAGCACACGCACCGCATCGCAACTGAAACGCATCGTTACCGTGCATCACGGCACGCACCGCACGCACGCACCACGATGTTACGGTGCACATCGGGCAGCCAGTGAATAAAATATACACCAGGGCAGGGCGAATCCTTAAGCCGCGGCCCGATAATGCCATATACAACAGGTCCCCTGTAGTAATTTGCCAGATGAGATTTTTCAAATGCAAACCAAATGTTTAGCGTGCTACATTTTCTTGGCACGCAATGCTTGAAAATAGACCACCCCGAAAACAATATAATTTTAAATTTTTTTCACCTGACATGCCACGCACTAATGTGTATGCGTGTGGCACACAGACCCGCAAACTCACCATGCAAACAGACAACGTGTAAGTGCACACCGCACGCACCACGGGCACAAACGACGTGTGTAATATGGAGGCAACGCACGCACGCACAGGCACCACAAAGTGCTGGAGTCTGTACTCACGCGCACGCATCCGAAGGGCACACCGAACGTTTCACTATACACACGCCAAAGCGCACACAGGCATGCAGGCATAATAAAAAAATCGGAGTAAATATTATCGCCATCTGGTGTGTCGATGTAGACGCTACATAATACTCTAAAAACTCGAGTAAGTTCGTCGTGTAGTACAGCTATAGTGGTTATGTGACGCAGCATCTGGCTAAGCAAGGTGTTGTGGCAGAGAATCTGGTTGTCCCGGTAAAATCTGTTTGGCCTATCGTAGAGCGGCTCCTCACTCGCATCAGCTCTCTCTGGTCCCCCCCCTTCGTGTGGTGCATTGGTCCAGATGGCGTATCAAACAACTAATCAGCTCACGTAAAAATGGGCACTCTCTGCATGGGTGTGTAATTCTTGGTATTCAACGGGCAGCAATAAATTAACCGTGGTTGCTAATGAATCGAGTACCCCACATTGTCTTCACATTTCGAACACTAGGTGTATCGGTTTGATCGACAAAATATATTAAATACTGTAAGTGCGGGTCTCTTCCCATGTTAGGCTGTGGCCCAACGGTTAAGTTTCGGCGATCCCCACATAGGAGGCAAGCTAGTTTTGGGGCCGCTCAAGCATTCACAGCCTACACATCACGAGCGTCCGTAATTTGTAGGTCATTAGGGAGCAACATCAGAGCTACTTAGGCCAACTGTTTGAGGCGTATGCATGTTACTCGTACTATTGCGTCTAGCGTGCCAGCTGAAGAACGCAGGCGTGCCAGCAGCACGAGAGCTTGGCAAATACCTGGTATTGCCAACGTAATAAGGGGCTGGCAGATGATCTCCGAGTGGGCCAGAGATACTGGGCAATGAACGTATGATAAAACTACGGACCTCGTGATAAAGGTAAAAGCCAGAATTAGGATATAACTTTTATCGGGGCTGTCCTTTATAAAAGTCTCGTGGGTGTCCGTGCAAGTATTTCGTTCACGTGGGTTCTCGCAAAAACCGTTTTAAAACGTGTTTACACGGCAATTTCAGTAGTGTAGAAATGAACTTAACATTTCTGTAGCGCAGGTTCGTACGATTCGTCAAAATTGGGTCTAAATATCCGTTTTCACATATTTATATGTTGCTTGTAATCTTCATAGATCTTCCGTATATATATTTCATTATTCGCCAAGATTAAATTAACTCATAACGTACGGAAAGACGCAGCTCAACGCACAAGAAATGCGAAATCACTGATTCAATGTAGAGGCATTGCTGTAAGCGAGGCAAGAGCATCGTCGCGAAAAAAGTGCAGCCACTATCAAACCTGTATCACACACCGCCCGCTTCGCGGCAGCTTTTTTGAATAATGGTGCACAACCGATTTTGGACTGCAGAATTTCAAGTTTCGACATTTCTATGTAACCAGGCACGTGATAATTAGGACAAACTAAATACCCGATTTGGCTATAAGGTAATGTACTTATTAACTACACAAGGTGCCAGTTACTCTAGCATTCATTAAAATTGCATAATCAATTGACCTATTATGCCTTTAAACATATTAAATCTAAAGTGCACAACTAGGCTTTGTACCGAACATATAGATCTGCCATTACATATGGTTACATTTGGATGAGCGGTTTTGTCATTATAGCCTAACTTGGCTGGTCGGCTGGATCTACAGATGGAAGCAAAGACGGCTTGTAATACTATACCCCATTGCAGGGGATAATAAAAAAAGTTCAACCTGTCCAAAGACAACCACCGCTGTTAATAGTGAATTGTTGCTGGCCCACACATAATTACATTTCAGAACTCTTATCAGTTTCGAATGATATATATACAGTACTGTACCTGTCCATCAATCAGTATCGTGCCATCCCTCTTGGTCTCCTTTTCTATGCCATCAAATGGTCGGAGAATGACCAACCTTCTCACTACATTCACGAAACTGCTACCTGCCGGCCCTTTACTCTTCTTTCTTGCAGAACGTGAAGGTGTGCGATGGTAAGTCACGTGCCCAGGGAATCCTGAAGAACTGCTAGCCATGCTGGATGGGGCAGGTCTCTGCTCATAGGGTCGGAACGTGCGCTGCACTTCTGCAGCTATCTCAGCTGTATTGCTTCTCTGCATTGTTATAGAAGCATCTCTGACATGTGATGCATGTCCAGCTGGAACTGTACACAAAAAAAGTTTTATGATACATCATAAGTAGGCTATTTTAAAATCCAGGGAGGAGACCTGCTTTGCTACTTTGTAAGTTTTGTAAATTTTGGGGCCCCTGCCAAACTGCAATGTCAGTGTATAACTCTACAAATACCTTGGTAAAATGTTACGCCTCACCTGACACGAAGCTTTCATTGGCTCCAGCAATTACTAACACATCATCTTCCCTGAAATATGTTTTGAAATTGAAATTACATGAAGATACATCAAACGGTTCCAGGGTTATTAAGGTTTGAAAAAGCGTTTCGGACAGACGACGGACGGACGGACAGGATGTGATGGGTACACATAAAATTTAAAAAGCACCAACCAACCATTCACTAGGCCTATAAACTTCAAACACAAGAGTACTTTAGTACATCGTGATACCATACCTGATTACATCGATGTCATCTATGACATGCCCCAATTCTGAATAGACAGTGTGGGCCATGATGCCCAATGTTGAAGAAGCCATCTCTAAGAGGCCAACTAGTGTCACTGGGCAGTTTATCACCTGCAAATAAAATAAAGTGTCATGAACATTTGACAGTGGCAGTGGCAGGGCCCACCAGAGCATAATCCAGTGCCTATACCCTGTCCACAATTTTTTGGGGGGTTTTATCTCTAACGACGGTTCATCAAATTTGGGCAGAATTGGGTAAAAATGCCGCCCCTACCAAGGTTGTTTGATTTAAATCAACAATAAAATTCAAATATATCATCTTAGTGTCTGGGGCATTTTATATTCTCTGACTGAATGGTGGAGAAGGAGGACGGGGAGGAGGGGGAGAAGCTGGTAGAGAAGGAGGAGGGGGAGAAGGAAGAAGCTGGTGGAGAAGGAGGAAGCTACGACCAGCTTCTCCCCTCCTCCTCCTCCACCAGCTCCCTTCTCCCCTCCTTCTCTCCTTCCTCTTTCTCCACCAGCTTCTCCCCCTCCTCCACCACCTTCTCCCTTCTCCCCCTCCTTCACCACCTTCTCCCTTCTCCCCCTCCTCCTTCTCCACCAGCTTCTCCCCTCCTCCACCACCTTCTCTCTTTTCCCCCTCCTTCTCCACCAGCTTCTCCCCCTCTTCCTTCTCCAACACCTTCTCCCTTCTCCCCTCCTCCTTCTCCACCAGCTTCTCCCCTCCTCCACCACCTTCTCTCTTCTCCCCCTCCTTCTCCACCAGCTTCTCCCCTCCTCCTTCTCCAACACCTTCTCCCTTCTCCCCTCCTCCTTCT